CCCCAAAACCCCAAAACCCCAACAATCCGAATTGTTTAGACAATGATTACAAGAGTAGAAATAAATTTTTATAATCCGATAAATTGATAATGAAACCCTCAAAGAGCGTGGTAGAATTAAAAAATGCTGGCATGTTTAAACTCCCAAGCATATCTCATAAAATTGTCTTGAATCAAAACATCAAGGATCCAATGAGATATAATTAAGACTTGAAAGCTTTTGATTCTGAAAATATCAACAAGAGTAAAATGACAGATTACATCTCTGGAACTTCTATAACTCAGTCAATGGAATATTAATAACCTTATTAGCCTAATCAAGTCTACCAAAGTCCAATAGTCCTCGTGGATTAATTAAAAAAGAGTAATGAAGTTATTTAGGATCCCTAGTCTAACATTAAGGTTTATATGAATTTCGAAGTGGATTTATCGTAGCAAGATTCTTAATGGAAAGTAAAGCTACAAAGGTCCCAGTCAAATGCGATTTTACAACCACTATAAAATTAGTAATATACCAGATACAAATAGTTTTAGATGGCATTGAGAAACGAGAACAAAGTTAATAGACCTCTCTATGTCAAAGATAGTTCAAAAGTTTATGATAGAGCTAAAGATGAGGATAAAATAAGGAGCATGCTGAAGGACATGAAATTCCGAAAGAATTCTCATCAGGTTGGATTTTTAGTTCCACCAACGCAGCTTAATATAAGAACTAATCTTAGATAAAGTATTGATACTTCTAAAATTCTGAACGACTAATCAGCTATCATTAAGAAGACTGACGAGTCTACAATGTAGTCATAATCAATTTTGCAAGACCTCATCAAAGTAGAAGAAAATGAAACTAGAATGAGTTAAAACAAATCTCAGCTGACAATGAGAGATTTAGGCTAGCTATCTGCTGTCTAAGACAAGTCAAATATCTTAAGGATAAAGAGAGATATGATATCTTAAGCAGTTAAAGAATTTTCTCAAAAACCTTAAAAATCTGGGTTAGCTGAGTTTGATCCATCAAAAGTTCATAGATAGCATCTTCAAGAAGTAAAGCTAAATCTAAAGCATGCAATACAGCTTAGTCAAAGATCCTAGCTTTAAGATATTAACACAAATATTGAGAGAAACATTAACTAATTAGATGTTGACGCATATCACAAGATTAATGAGTATATTGAGCATCTCAAAAATTAATAGGAAAAATCTGAGTAACCTAATATTAAAATTATTGAGATCATTAAGGCCTACATGAAAGAGATGGTTCGAGCATTCATAGAAGAATAAAAGAAGAGCCATAAAAGTGAACTTGAGCATGAGTTAGAAGAAAATCTTGGGATGCTGCGAGAACTCATAAATTCTCCTTAAAAGCTTAAGAAAAAATAGCTTGAACTTTTAATGAAGCAAGTGAGTGACAATATTTTTAAGCAAAGCTAAAAGGATCTTTAATTTGTAGTCAATCATCAGGAACTATTAAGTCCAAACAGGAAACAATAGATTGAGAAAAAAGTTTTGAATGCCAAAATGATATAGCATTAGCAGGAGCATCAAGAGCAAGAAGATTTGTCATCTCATAGAAATGTAGAAAGCAAGAAGCAGTATATTGACGGTTTAGTTTCAAAGACTCTCGATAGTCTTTAAAATACTAAAACCCTCAACAAATTGGTAATTAAAGCCTAACCTAATATTTATAGGATATTATTGAGCAGGTCAAGAAGGATAGTTACTGCTTCAAAAATTCAAAAGAATTTTTTGAGACCATAAAAATGGGAGATGTGATTAAGACACTAAGATTTCTAAAAGAGAACGATGGTTATGCTAATGATCTAGATAGACTGTAAAGGACCCCACTTTCATGGGCATGCTAAAGAGGGTTCGATAAAGTAGTTTAGATATTGATTGATTATGGGGCCGAGCTAGATACTTTGGATTCTTTTGGAAGAACAGCAAAGGATTTAGCTATCCAAAAGGAAAACCCTGTCATTGTTAATGTAAATTATTTCTATCTAAACTTATTTATTATAGTTTTTAAAGCAAGTTGAAGCTGGAAAATATGCAAGATCAACTGATAAATATACAAGTGCCATTTATATAAAGACGCTTTTACCCCCAAGTAGAATGGATGAGTTCAATAAATTCTTAGGAAAACCTTCGATTATCAATTAGCAATTAGATTTTCTATTCACATGACAATTATATTTCTTAGAACTTTAAGTTAATGAATAATTTCTTCCCTAGTTCCCTTAATTTCATAATTATTATTTCATAAAATTATATAAACTATTAATCCTAAAATATACAAAATGAAGTCACAATCTAGAGTCATGAACCAAAAAGTACTCTCTTAATCAAAAGTTATTCGAGGAAATAATAACTCAAACAATGTAGATATAATCTCTAACCAGAGCAACACCTTGCACTTATCCTAGCCATCTCCAATTAGTTTTAAAAATGTAGTTGGATCTTTAAATGCCACACCTCTAAATGAAACTGGATAGTAGGTAAATAGTGGACAAAAAGATCAATTCAATGGAAACCCCAGATCCTCAAAATAAGCTTTAAATGGAATGAAAATCAGAAACTCGATGTATGACAACAAAAATCAAACAAATATTAGAATCGATAATCAAGATGTATTGATAACAAACACCCAGGATACTAACAAGAATCTGCAGGCCGAATTATTTAAATCTGAATTCCTGATGTTTGAGTAGTCTAATTAAGACCAACCTTAAAGTAGTATTAATGGTGAGAATGAGCAAAGCATAAGTTAAACCGCTATACTTTAAACCCATCATTCTTCAGCATCATAATCTTTGGTAAAAATGAGAACCCTTAATCCATTTAGCCAAGATCACCTCAGAGGATTTAGGATTTACGATAAAAGATTTCATAGTTAAAATCTTAAAAAAGGAAATTACTCTACTAGCAATCTTTAATTTGCAAATCCTAATCTAAATCTTCAGGAAGATGGTTACATTCAAGAGCAAAACCAACCTCCTAAGATCGATTATAAAGTAGTATTGGGTTCTGATTCATTTAGTACTTTTCAATTCAAAAATATATTAAAGTAGACATATAGACCATAATTTGAGGAGAAATCAAAATAAAGAGAGTTTGATAAGTGAAGAATATAGGATTTTATGATGAATAAGATTAGTGATAAGCACTAAACGAACATCGAAATACTTAAGAAGTAGCAGCATAAAGATTAAGTTCTTACTAAAAAATATGCTTCAGGATATTTTACAGCTAGCAAATTTATCAGACCAGAAAGAAATGTTATGCTTCTAGATCCAAAAAAATAAAAGTATCTTGACACCACTGAAAAAAAGAATATGAAGTATTTCCAAAAAGTATATGAAGAAGTAAAGAAAGATTCTCAATTCAAAGAACTTCTTGAATAACCAATTGTTAAAAGTCCTTCTAAGAATTAATTACTGAAAATTCAAAGCTAGAAGACTATAATACCTGCAATTATGCCTGATCAATCAAGCTAAAGTAGCCATGTAAAGGCGATTGAGTATAAGGGTCCTTTTAGCCAACCAGCCTTCTATTTAACTGATCCAGATAACTACAGTGAGATTCATAATACTAGACCAACACCAACTCCACTTTCAATAAACTTTAATGATTTTAATTCTCAAGGTCATAGGAGACAGTAAAGTAGAAATTAGATGATAGATATAGATGATTTGTAAATGACAGCTACTTAAAATACCATTTCAGATTCCAAAACTTCATTTGATAAAAACAAGATTGAAAAAATCATCACACCTAAGAACAAGAAAAACTCTAAAAATTCATGGTCAATCGTAGATCATATGTACAAAGGAGCTATAACAAGCCCAATGAACTAATTTGAGAGAATAAAAACCATTTCATAGATGTCAAAAATACAATCATAGGCCACATAATAATTAAAATTTAATCAAACCTCCAAAGTTCAGCTGAAATACCTTATCAATCATGAGTAAGATTTAAAATAAGTTATTTCATTAAAATATCTTTAGGAAAAACCATCCGATCTTTGATAATTTTGTGGACAAGGACAAATAAATCATCAAGCAAAAGCATAGTTAAGAGTATCAGTAATTAGGAGAAGTTTTAGGGACTTACATAAAGTAATCCTAGATACTATAGAGACCAGAATCCAAATAAAATCTTGACTTGATTGCATATGAGGATGGAAGTTAGTAAAATGGAGCAGATTATCAAATTTAGTTGTATCATGACTAATCCCAGTCTGTTTCTGCAGCTAAGCTCTAAGGTATTTTATAAGGTCATCACAAGAAATTTTTTGATTCTAACTTTGCTTTAAAAGAAAAAGAATCTGAAAATCTTAAAATTGAATTTAATAAACTTTAAACTGAAGCTCATGAGTTGAAATCAAGATAAATAAAAGATGAGATCTTAGATAGAAATATTTAAAGATAAGGGGTTGTTAGTAGTAAGGCAAAAAAACTAATAGATCTTATAATGCGATATTGATTAATTTCGTTTATTATATTCGACTTTGATTAATTGATGGGTAAATATTGGGGTTTTGGGGTTTTGGGG